TTCTTGCTACTTGCTACTTGCTACTTGCTACTTGCTACCTGCTACCTGCTACCTGCTACCTGCTACCGCTACCGCTACCGTTACCGCTACTGCTACCGCTACCGCTACTGCTACTGCTACTGCCACTGCTAATACTAGGGTTTAGGCTTTTCGGATGAAGCTTCGTTACAAGTCTAATTATAGCCGTGTACAGCACGGTCTTCGGGCCTACGGACCTGATAGCCTAAGTCCTTCAATTAAAGCCTTAGGGTAATGGTTACTGGCTGAGGTTGCGGGCTGGAAGCTTGCTGTATGCCTTTAGGTTTGTACCAAGTGTACAGCGGCGTAGACTTTAGAGTCTGTTCAATGAGGTTTAGGGTTGGAGAGAAGGGTTTAGGCCACTGTGCGGAGGCCCAGGCAATCGCAACAAGATCTCATGCGACTTCCCACATGTAGGTACCACATTCAATGGGATAGGGCTTTGGGGCATATTCTACTATAAATGCAACTAGGGAAAACCATGGGAAATAGTAAAATACTAGTCTATGATCAGGCCTCCATATTATGCAAGCGCCTTAACTTTCCAGCAGATTTCCTGAGTCGACTTTACACACTGAAGGATTCTCCATTGCCAGGCTTGCTGCCGAAACCTTGTTTGCACTTACCCCTCCATCTAAGACTCTACGAATTACACTAGACATTTCACTCATGTGATCTTACTATGGTTAAACCGCAGGCCCGAAGATCTCGAAATGCCAATGTTTACAACAAAAAATCCGAAACCCCAAGGCAAGCCCCCAAACCCAAACCCTATACCTATAGGCAAAACCCCGTGACCCTAAACCCTTTGATGCCGGGTACCTGCATGTTGATGGCTAAGGGGACATTTTGCTCCACGGCCACAACAAACATCTCCTGGCAAAATTCCAGGGTTTCAAGGACCACTCCGGAAAGGGCTCCTTTAATGGACCCTACATGGGTTCTACAACGATTCAGGGTTTCGTTGTGCGGGTTCAGTCCAGACTAGAGTTGAAGATTGGCTAGCACCGGCGGTTCGCAATGCCGCTTGACATCAACCATTTAAATGTTGAGCACCTGACCCTCCCAGAATCTCTTCTCATGTCTCGCCGGTCTTCTTTAGGCTGAAGGACCAGTCTCTAGTCACCCAACGATAATGGCTCCTTCTGGACCAACCTCTTTTGATAAGCCTCATTGCTCATTGCCCTAAGGGTCCATGTATCCAAATAGTAGCATACATTGGCCCTAAAGTACCTATATAGGGACTACATTAAGGCCAAAGTATTACTATTTGGGTACACGGACCCTTAGGGTTATTTTCAGGGTTTCCGGCCGCACAAGGCCAGAACACTCGAGCCTAAAGTGTTCGATTTTACAATACCCTAAGGGTCCATGTACCCAAGTAGTAGAACATTGGCCTTAATGTAGTCCCTATTGGGGTACTTTAGGGCTTATGTTCTACTATTTGGG